CCCTGACTAAAAGATTGGGGAGTCAAATACCCTAACCACTACGCCATGCCTAGAAACAACAACAAAAACCAAGGAGTTAAGGAGAGCAATCGGTGCCTTTAAGCTCTCTTAAACATTATTGGGAGTGAAGGAGAGCAATCGGTGACTTCAAGTACTCTTAAATATTATTAGGAGTGAAGGAGAGCAGTCAGTGTCTTTAAGCTCTCTTAAACATTATTAGGAGTGAAGGAGAGCAATCTATGCCTTTAAGACCTCTTAAATATTATTAGGAGTGAAGGAGAGCAATCGGTGACTTCAAGTACTCTTAAACATTATTAGCAGCGAAGGAGAGCAATCTATGCCTTTAAGACCTCTTAAATATTATTAGGAGTGAAGGAGAGCAATCGGTGACTTCAAGTACTCTTAAACATTATTAGCAGCGAAGGAGAGCAATCAGTACCTTTAAGCTCTCTTAAACATTATTAGGAGTGAAGGAGAGCAATCGGTGACTTTAAGTACTCTTAAACATTATTAAGAGTAAAGGAGGGCAATCTGTGCCTTCATATTCTCTTAAACATTATCAGAAGTGAAGGAGAGCAATCGCCCCCCCCCCAGGTCTTAAGGACTGCTTAACATTAAGTCCGAGTTAAGTTAAGTCGATACCTGCAGTGGGCAAAGCGAATTTAGCCCATAGTGTAGCTTTGTGTTTAAAAACAAACAAATATGGGTAAAAAGTCATATATGTATCGCAAAATTAATAATTCATTCTTTGTAGGAAATTATAGGTATTCGTGGAACATTATGTCAAAGCAAAAAGTCACATTTCGTAATCTTGGAATTTATCTCGACCAATGCGACCATCGATTTCTTCAGAGCATACCTCATGATTCGTTCTTGGTCAATAATGTTGCTAATAGTTCTAATTCTGTTAATCATGATAATATTAATGATGATAAAGTAGCTGACCATCATGTGCAACATACTGAGATACCTGTCTTCTAAAATTCGTTTTGCGTCCTTGGTCTCTTTTTAAACTTGTCTGGTTAGATATATGAACATGTCATCAAAGTTTGGAAGATAAGCCTTCTGGGCATACCATTCTTTTACTTTTTAAGAAAGCTTTTAAATGTTCTTAATGTAATATGAATAAAATATTCACAAGGGGCAAGTCTTAACAGATTATTTTAAGACATACGCTTTAAGCTAAAGATACTTAAATGTTATCTTGTGCAGTAACATTTTATGAAAAATATAATATGCACATTAAAGAAATAAATTTTTGAAAACCTTCAGTTAATCGCCTAACATTTACTTTAATAAAACGTTTAAGCATGGCTAATGACGAACTAAATAACTTCAGAAATGCACTTCACATTTCTCAAATATCGTGCTCCAACTGGAGAGTATAACTGTGATCTTCTTGGAAGTGGCATACCACCCCACCCTAACCCCCACGTTTATGTTAGAAAAGCATCTTCAGATTGAGCACTCTCAGCTCCTTCGCGTGTTTTAAACGCCAAGATTTACCTCTTAAAGCCATAAAATACTATGGTAGTGCCCAGATATAGGAGTGTTTTAAGGCTCCTACCACCACCTCTTCCCTGGTTACGCCATTGTTATTATGGGAGGACAATTAAACATGTATAGAAAAAAAAAGTTATTTGTAGAGAAATGTCAAGAGTACGGTAAAGCTACACGTTTTTTTAAACATGAATCTGGGACACTAGAAGAGTGGTAGCTTCGTTAAGGTCTTCCTGTATACACAGTTTACATTTTTCAATGTCGAAATAAGGAAACTCGAGTTTTTGCAACAATTATCCCGGCTTTATCTATTTTCCTATGAATGACTACATAATTACTATTAATGCTATAACCACAGTATAACATGATATTTTATTAAATTCAAATCCTCCGGTGGGTTTACGGACTTACAATACTAAAATCCGGGGGTTCGATTCCCCGAGATGGACAAGACAGATATCCCAGTGTGGATTTACTTTAAGACAAACAAACAATTAAAAAAATTAACGTGAAAGGGTTTAAGTTCTCTTGTGTATAGTATGATCAGCCCTGTAAAAGTTGACTTTCATTGTTGCTTAAAGCAATGATATTCAAGAAAGGTAATGTTGATTCAGATTCTCGTGCTACATAGGACCTTATACCTTATATTCTTTTAACTCAGTTTCTTGAACCATTTAATAAAAGAAGAACATTGAATAAAATACATTTTTGTGTCTTTAAAAGTATCCGCATGTATCTCTTATTGGCATGAAAGTTAAGGCTGAGAAAAACATGTAGATTCTTTAGAAACATGTCAAACTTGTATCTGTATATTGTATTTAATTTCAGTAACAAAAATAGTTTGCTGTGTTAATCTTGCATAATGAACGAAGTTTTTTATTATTATTCCAAAACATGGTTATGCTAAAAACACGAGAACATTTATTTTGAAACGGAATTAGTGATAACATAACAAACATATAAAGAAATTTACTTTAGCAGTTTATTTGCTGAGAAGACAAATATCTTATACTATACATCATCTGCAGTTGGAAACACCCCTCTGTTATTATTTCAAAACCTGATGTACAAAGGCACAGTAATACAAATAGACAGACAGACAGACAGATAGATAGATAAGAAATCAGTAAAGTAAAGAATATCCTGATTTTTAGAACTACTAATATACACCTTAAAGGCATTTTCAGTATCTGAAAGGGCAATAAAATCCGTTGGATTGGGTATGGTTGTTACAACCGCTGTATGGATTTAGATGTATGAGTTTATATCGGTATTCGGTATATTCAACCTGAAAGGCACTTTTTGTGCACACGGGCAATACAACTAGGTCAGGAACTCTAGAGTTCAAGTATAGCCCTTTCTCCAATTTTTATCAACCGACGAGAGAAAAGGCAACCAGGCAGTGAAACTATTTCCAAAAGGACTGTGTCCATTTTTTTACCGAATAACAGCATTGTATCTCTATAACATATTCAATTTATTAAAATACATGTTGTTATTAACTTGAGCCACAAAGATATTCCAAAACAATGTAAATTTGGAAGAATCTTTCGATTCGCAAACCCGGGACGCTTAAAATGGGCCACACCCGGCACATTAGTTGTATGGGGTCGGATCCAGAAAGGGAGAGGAGGTTGAGAAGGTTGAAATCCCTTTCCGATGGACTATAAAACAACGATATTCTTAGACCTAATGAAGAAAGTGAATTTTTCGAAATGTTTCATGACTCCAGCCCAAATACTGGATTCGACATTATTATACAAATATATAGCATTACGTACATACGTAGCTGCAAGTCCAACAGTTTAGTTATACATCTATATTACGAAGTTTGGATAAGGGAAATTAAGGTGGAAATATCAAACATTTTTTGTTGTATATTGATGAATATGTTTTGAATATAAAAAGTCATTTATGAAACATAATTCGTAGGGTATATCCTGAAATGGAGTTGAGATGAATTTTCAAACCTAATTGTCTTTATAAAAAGGTTTTTCAATTTAAAGATCGCATTCTTTCACTGAAAATTGTCCTTGCTGTCAAACATGGCAATGTTGGGTCTGCTAGAATATAATTCTTAACTCACGTGAAGGAACATGCACATTTAATACTTAAGGTCTGCGAATAGATCAAGTGTACTGGAACAGGCTCTAGACGAGTGTGACGTGCTCGTCTATTCAAACTGTTTTAAGATCTTAATAAGGGCCATTTGATGAACAGAGCCTCCGTAGTATGTGGAGCTTGCTCATACGTAATCTGAGGTCTGAAATTAACCAAGTGAACCAGCGCTTTTAAACAACTGTTGGTTATACAACCGTATCGTTATGTTGTAACAACTTCTTGTACCCCTTATTAGTATAATAACTGGTTGATTTATTCCATTTGGTTTATGCAAACTATCTAGTTTAATAACTTACATATTTAAAATAGCAATTAACAGTTAAATTGTATGTTGGATTTTTAACCTATGTTTCAAAGATTTGAGAAGAATTTGTTCTAATTATATATATTTAGATCGTAATAAATTAGATATTGCAAATAGTAATTTATATTAAAATACTATGTTTGATTTTTAACGTATATTACAAAAATTTGAGACAAATGTGTCCCAATTCTGTATATTTAGATCGTAATAAACTATATATTGAAGATAGTATTTATTAGTTAAAACTATAAGTTTGCTTTTTAACATATATTATAAACATTTGAGACAAATGTGTCCCAGTTCTGTATATTTATATCGTACTAAACTATATATTGAAGATAGTATTTATTAGTTAAAACTATAAGTTTGCTTTTTAACATATATTATAAACATTTGAGACAAATGTGTCCCAGTTCTGTATATTTATATCGTACTAAACTATATATTGAAGATAGTATTTATTAGTTAAAACTATAAGTTTGCTTTTTAACATATATTATAAACATTTGAGACAAATGTGTCCCAGTTCTGTATATTTATATGGTAATAAACTATATATTGAAGATAGTATTTATTAGTTAAAACTATAAGTTTGCTTTTTAACATATATTATAAACATCTGAGGGAAAATTGGTTCGATTCTATATATTTATATCGAACACGCTATGCGGATCTTCTATATGTAGCTATTCATGAAAAATCAAATATGCAAAATCAAAGACACTCATTAACTTAAAGGTCAAATATCAAGCGGGTTAGGAAGCTAGAAATATTAGAGCGACCCCTGATGGTGTTAAACAATTAAGAGTAACTAATTCTATTAAAAATGCCCAAAGATTTGAACAAAATAATTCATTTTAAACTATTATGAGATGGTTACAAACAATAGGTACAGTAAAACATACTTTTCATAAATTATAGTGATGGGTGTATCTATATGAAATTTATTTCTAGACACCCAAAGTACCTAAATATGTTTGCAAAGTATAATTTGTATATGATATTAAATTTCGAGTAATCTTAAATATATACATATAACTACACGACAGTGCCGAACCCAGTTTTTCTGGCTTACCTGCATGCCTCAGCTGATGGTGCGCTGTATCATCAAATTGGCGAAGTGGATTCACGGCTCACGATCTGTGAATAAATAACCCACAGAAGCAAGATATGATCTTTCGAGGGTGGAAAGGGACGGGCTTCTTGGACGCACAGAAGTTTATCATACGCGCGAGACTTTGTGTAGTCGGTTTGACGTCACCTAAGACCATCCCTACTTCAAAGTCACAGCCCCAATTAATATTGTAGCAAATGACGCCATCTCACCGTCGACCAATTGAAATTCCACAAGAACATACAATACAACGAAATTAAAGCTGGCAGAACACTTCCATATACTGTATAAACGTCGATTTCTCTTTTCAGTGGAAAATGTTAGTTTTTAGATTTCAGCTTGCCAGAAAACGCTACTGTTGAAGAGTTGAAAGTGATTATAACAAACACTTAAACACCATGTCTGGTTGTTTGTTAAAAATAATTACCAGATTAAGCTGAACTGGGTGTTTTTAAACAACATTTAAGTTAGTTTTCTGTTTATATATTTGCAACGAGCTCAGATAATTATTCTCGGTAAGCGACCAATTATTGTCATTACTTCAGTACCTTGTAATATGCAATGGCGTAGCGATAGGTAGGGCTATTGGCTCTAGGGCCCCAAAGAGCTATTTGAAATTCTGAATATTGGAATTGAGGGGGGAAATAATCTTAAACACGGGAAAACTTTTAATGGGGGGGACAATATTTTATGCCCTAGAGCCCTTTAAGATCCAGTTACGACACGGGTGTTACGATAACGAGACTGTTATTATGATCTTGAGCCACAAGTTTATTCCAAAAATGTAAATTTGGAAGAACCATTATATTTAAACTGTAAAAACTATTTTAAAACGTTTAGTACTGTGATAAATGAAATATTTTAAAACAGCAGCATAAATCAAAAACTCAGATTTGTAGAATTTCAATGATCTATTGATTTTATTTATTCTTGCCCCTGCTATTCCTCAAAAAACAAATGAAAAAACTTGGAGCAATAAAAGATATTTCTTTCATTCAATGAAAAAACTTTGGGCAATAAAAGATATTTCTCTTATTCAATGAAAAACTTGGGGCAATTAAAGACATTTCTTTCATTCAATGAAAAACTTGGAGCAATAAAAGATATTTCTTTCATTCAATAAATCACTTGGGGCAATTAAAGACATTTCTTTCATTAAATGAAAAACGTGGAGCGATAAAATATATTTATTTCATTTAATGTAAAACTTGCGGCAATAAAAGATATTTCTTTCATTCAATGAAAAACTTGGAGCAATAAAAGATATTTCTTTCATTCGTTGAAAAAACTTGGGGCAATAAAAGATATTTCTTTCATTCAATGAAAAACTTTGGGCAATAAAAGATATTTCTTTCATTAAATGAAAAACTTGGGGCAATAAAAGATATTTCTTTCATTCAATGAAACACTTGAGGCAATTAAAGACATTTCTTTCATTAAATGAAAAACGTGGAGCAATAAAATATATTTCTTTCATTCAATGAAAACTTTGAGCAATAAAAGATATTTCTTTCATTCAATGTAAAACTTGCGGCAATAAAAGATATTTCTTTTATTCAATGAAAAAACTTGGGGCAATAAAAGATATTTCTTTCATTCAATGAAAAACTTGGGGCAATAAAAGATATTTCTTTCATTAAATGAAAAAACTTGGGGCAATAAAAGATATTTCTTTCATTCAATGAAAAACTTGGGACAATTAAAGACATTTCTTTCATTCTTCACTCTTTCTATGTGTATATAGGCATATTCCATTTTATTCCACAAGCTGGTAAAACAAATAACTCTATGTAGAAAATCTTATCGTATTTTTTTCTCTGACGATGATTTTTAATACAATAGTGACCACTGTGGGATAGAAAACAGTCATACTAAATCAAAATAAGACAAGTTCAGATACATTATCGTCATTATATTAACTAGTCCTATTAGACTTTCTAAAATGAGATATAAATCTATTATAAACTCACATGGAATGTATTAGGCGAATTAATAATATTTATATCCTGTGTAAACTAATCCTGAGTTCATTGTACAAAATATTTTATTTGATACGAAATAGAAAAGCAACAGCGATTCAGCTTTTTCAAAAACTTCTTTATCTCATACAGATAGGCAGAAAAGCAACGGTGATTCATCTTCTTTACAAAATTCTTTATTTCATACAGATAGACAGAATAACAACAGCTATTAAGCTTCTTCAAAAAATCCTTTACCTCATGAAGGTAGGCAGAAAAGCAACAGCGATTAGGCTTGTTCAAAAAATCCTTTATCTCATGAAGATAGGAAGAAAAAGAAGATATTCATCTTCCTTGCGAAAGTTCCAGAAAAACCTTGTATGTGAAACAGATAAATTAGAATATCAGATCTCATCTTTGATGTTTATTTAACTAATTGCTGTCAACGAAAAAAACTCTAACACATATGTTTAAACATATGACTAGCCTCTAATAGAAATAACTCATTTCTTTCTTATGGGTTTATTTCAAATCCCCAGTTCCCTCGTTCGAAGACTGTCCACGGATATTTAGTTTTATATAGTTATTTAATGGGCTATCTGTGCTCCGCCCACCATGGGTATCGAAACCCGGTTTTAGCGTTGTAAGTCTGCAGACATATCGCTATGTCACTGGGGGGGGGGGATCTTTTAATTAGTATTTTCTTATTTCCAAAAATGTTTCTTAAATTACCATGCTCTTACTTTTTACTTTAATATCTATATAACTGAAAAGCTATCAAGTTACTAATTATTGCTTATTTACCAAAAGAATTTAAAAGATTATTTTATGTCTTTATATTATTTACATTTCTTTTTGTGTGTAAAATACTTTAAATTCTGTGTGGTGTTTCAACTGTCGTTATTCATTGAGATACGTGTTTTCTTATACTTGAAGAGCTGCAAGAAATAACTAATAAATACTACTTATGCTTAAATTCATTATACACTTAAGAGGGCCAGCATGGCCTGGTGGTTAGGACGCTCGACACGCAACCTGCAGGATCGAAACCTGACGCCGAACATGCTCGCCCTTTAGACGTCATAATATGATGGTCAATCCCATTATTTGTTGATAAAAGAGTAGCCCAAGAGTTGATGGTGGGTGTTGCGGGCCGGTTGCCTTCCTTCTATTCGGTAGTTCAAAATTAGAAACAGCGACAGATACCCTTAGTAGCTTTGCTATAAACAAACACTTAGGGGGAAAATATTTTGTTTGTAAAAATTTCTTTTGATCATGTGCCGCGGAATATATCTAATATATTAATTAAATAATGGCTGGAGACGGCTTGAGTGGGTAATGAAGAAAAACTTTAATATA